AGAATAAAAAGCATAAAAAACTAAATTATTAAAACAAATTAAATAAAAAAAAATAAAAGCTAGGCTAATTCAAAATATTAATAAATACTATAAATAACACTGAAATACCATAAACCACACTTTCCTCAACAAGACACATGATTTGTGGAATCACTCATGTCAAATGGAAGTAAAACTATTAAAAACAAACTTTGGTAAATAAACTAAACTAAAATAAAATATTAGATTAAAAATGAAAAGAATAAAATGAAACTTTTAAAAACTTTCTTTTTAAAAAAAAAAAAAGCTAAACCAACTGCTAATTCAGCTCATTCATAATATTAATAAACAAAACAAATAATACTAAAACAACAATGACAATGTTTCCTCAACAAGACACATAATTGAAAGAATCATTCATGTCAAATGGAGCAAGCTATATAGCTACGTTCCCCTAACAGAACACACTGAAACAACAAATCACAATGGGCCTTATGTCATGAAAAAAACACTCAATATTCAAACCTGACAGAACACTACAGGACCACAAAGAGCACAGTACACCACTGTCTGAAGAACAGGACAGGGCCCGTAGCCCATCACAATAACGGCAATTCAAAACCACCAGGTAAAACCCATGAGAGATGTGTTGTTTCGGCCTGTCAATAAGTAAAAAGTCCCGTTGGATTTGCATAAGATGAAAAAAATATAATGCCGCACAATTTTGCTCATTTTAACAGCTAAAGCCATCACACTTCAGATGACAGCCTCGGGTGCTGGATTGTCTTTTATTGAACACAAAAACACGTTCCTGTGTGAAACGTGCCACATTATACGAGACATAATTAAGACTGACTAGACAACCAACAGACAAATGATTTTGAAAATCAACTATTTTTCAAGTAGGACTGGGGAATTTGGCCAAAAATAGTATTACAATAAAAATCATTCAATATGACTGAGTAGTTATCACAATATTAATTTCATACTATTAATGAGAAAGGAAATCGTTCCACGTGTTTGTTAGACCTCAAGAATGAATGTA